GTAATTTTTTTCAAATTTAAAAATACACAGAAGAGAAGGAGCGGCAGCCGGCTTCCGACGATCGTGAAAGGGGATTCTCCCCTGGACCTGTTTTCATCGGTCGAAGTAGGGAAAAAGCTAATGTTATATAGTGGTTGGGGAAGCCATCAAATCAAGATCCAAGTGACACAGATTTATACAACAACATTTCTCTTTTGTCTATAGTGGGTCATGGTGGTACGGGGAAGACGACTCTCTTGCTACATGTCTTTGAAATGTGAAAGAGGAATTTGACCTTAAGATTTGGGTGTGTGTTTCCAACAACTTTAAAGAGGAAGAAGTCATTACTGATATGTTGAAATATCTTAATAAATGGAAGCCTCATTTAATGCAACTTCCTCCTCTTCAAAGCACACTTAAATTTGTGATGCAGTCCAAGAAGCTTTTGCATGTTCTGGATGATGTTTGGGAGGGTAATACTACCAAATGGGGGAATGTGCTCTCCCCTCTTACTAAGGGAAGTTTGGGAGGTAAGATTTTGGTAACAACCCGGATGGATTCAATTGCATCCATGATTGCAGAGGTGATTAGAAAGAAGAATAAATTGTTGAGATTAGAGGGCTTGGGGGATGATGAGTGCTTGCAACTCTTCAAAACTCATGCATTTGGTGCATTCGGTGTTAAAGAAAACAGTAGCCTGTTGGATTAATTTTGGGACTACAATGTAATTAATAAATTTGTTGGGTCATCATTAAATAAGTCAAAATTATTGTGGTCTAATTTAGAATTAAGTTTACGACTTTGGGCACATTTGTCATGATATTATAGTGTGGATACCATAAGTGCAAATTCTAATTTGATTAGGTGCAGAATTAGAATTAAGCAAAACTTTTTTATAACCGCCTGGTAGTTACTTCAAAGAGCGATGGTCCCCAATTTGCAGAGAGACACATCCCTTTTCTTGCACCCCATCAACAATAAACTAAGAAAAATCTGGAAAATCTGCATATTGGAAGATCATATATTGTGCAATCGATCTAATGGATTCCGGTACGTTTCCGCTAATCTATGGTTTATTTCTCTCAAAATTGAATGTGAATTTTTTTTAGTTCTAACATAGTCGTGTTCATAAAGAGTTAGAGTGCATTGCTGAAGAGATAGTTAAAAAGCTTTCCGGTGCTCCGTTGGCAGCAAAGGTCATTGGTGGTGTTCTGAAGTCTGAATTGACTCCGAAGCATTGGGAATAAAAATATTGAAAGCATAAAATCACTGCCGGGCCAGAAAAAAATTACAATCATTAGAATCTTAATATTGAGCTATTCAATCCTACCAGAACCTTTTAAAAATTGTTTCGCATTTTGTAGTATATTCCCACAAGGTCATCTATTTGACAAAGTTGATTTGGTTCGAATGTGGATTGCATTGGATTTTATCCAGATGTCTTCTAATACAGGAGACACTATCGAAGATATGGGAAGATGGTATTTTGATACTTTGGTCAAAATATCTTTTTTTGACAAGAAAAACTCGACATTTTATAAGATGCGTGACTTAATACATTCATTAGCACGGGATGTTTCAGAAAAAATGCTTCAGGTTTGTGGAGAATAAAGATGCGTCTTTTGACATTCCTGAAACTATTCGACACTTATTTGTTGACATTACAAATCTAGATATGCTGAGAGAGATTACAAAATTGAAACATTTACGTTCGCTTTTTTTGACCTGTCGAGAAGGTCAAGATGAAAATTTTATGGATGTACTTGCTGAAGTTTTTAAAGCATTGAGAAGCATTAGTGTGGTATTCATGTGTTTTCCATATTTGAAACTGGTGCCTGAGTCAATCGAAAATTTGATACATCTCAGATACTTAAATTTTCATAGAACCCCTATCGCTCTGCTACCAAAGGCTCTTTGCAATCTTTATCACTTGCAGTTTTTTATCTTTAATTCAGTACCTAAATGTGTAATTTCTGATGATTTCATCCCAGTAGATATGAACAATCTTTCAAATCTACGTTATCTAAAATTGCGCGGGAAGTTTGTGCATAGGAATTTAAAGTCACTTAAAAAATTAGATGGATTTTATGTTACGATTAAAAATGGTTATAAGATTTGGGAGCTGAAACAATCAAATGACATTTGTTGAATACAAAAAGGGAGGAATCTGAGGAATATATTCAGAAATCACCTTTGTGGATTACCAGTGAAGCATTCAAGGAAATGTCGATCAAAAAATTGTCCGGGAAGTGCTTCGAGTTTTTATAGTGATGAATTAGATTATAAGGAAAACCTCACATATTTGTCCTTAGATTGGGGTGACTTTGACCGCAATAATAAGGAGAGAAGTGGCACCTTTGAATGGGATTTCTATGAACGCACGGATGAGGAAAGTGGCACCTTCACCAACTTTCAACATTTGCTTACAAACCTTCAAATAGATAAGAAAAGTAGAACATCAAGAAAAGTGGAACCAGATTCAGATTTAGAAGTGGTGATGTTTGAAAAACTTGAACCACCCAACAACATAAAAGAATTGTTGATGCATGCGCACATGGGTGCAGGGTCTACATTATGGTTGAACAAAGTCAATTCGATCTTTAATTTAGAATACATCAGACTAGATGAGTGTTTTAACTGGGAAATTCTTCTACCTTTTGGGCAGCTTCCTCATCTCAAGTATCTTTATCTTCTTAACATGCCAAAAATAGAGCAGCTTGATAATAAATTTCATCAGGATACAAAGGTTTGTACCCTTCCATCACTGGAGCTGCTACACATTAAAAATTTACAAGTGCTGGAGGTTTGGATTGATGTAGAAGCAGCAAAAGATAACTGTTTGTTTCCTTGCTTAAAGAAGCTCTACCTCAAAGAGGGCCCAAAATTGCAGGAGTTGTCCTGTTTACCTCCTAAGCTCGAGAGATTGGAGTTGAATAACATTACGTGGAAATCTTTTGAATTTCTAAAGGATAACAACAACTGTTGCAACATTATAATTCAAAATTGCGACAATTTAAAGAATTTCTTAAGAGTTATGGCTTCGAGCGATGAGCTCCGAGTGCGTGCAAAAGTTATAAACGATGCTTTCACGTTGATGATGGAGCCATTGAGAAGTATTGTGTCTATTAACTTGTTGGAAATTAAGGATTGTCCTATGATTTCCTTTCCATATGGGGCAGAGCAGTGGTTTCAGGAAGTTAGTTACCTTTGTAAGTTGAACTTGGAAAGGCTTCAAAATCTTGAGTCTCTCCCTTGCTTCTCTTCACTTGAGATTTTAGATATGATAGATGTTCCCAAGCTCCAGAGGCTGTCGTACATCCCCGCTTCTCTGAAACAATTAAGTCTTCAAAATCTCGAATCATTGCAGGATCTTCCATCTTTTAGGGACGTCTCTTCACTTGAGATTTTAGATATAATAAATGTTCCCAAGCTCCAAAGGCTCTCGTACATCCCCGCCTCTTTGAAACAATTAAGTCTTCAAAATCTCAAATCATTGCAGGATCTTCCATCTTTTAGGGACATCTCTTCGCTTGAGATTTTACGTGTGGAAAAACTTCCCAAACTCCAGAGGTTGTCGTACATCCCCACCTCTCTGAAACAATTAAAGCTTCAAAATCTCGAATCATTGCAGGATCTTTCATCTTTTAGGGACGTCTCCTCACTTGAGATTCTACTTGTGATAGATGCTCCTAAGCTCCTACAACTGCCTAACATTCCGACCTCTTTAGAAAATTTAAAGCTTGAAAAACTTGAATTGTTGTTGCATCTTTCGTTTTTTAGGGATGACTCTTCACTTAAGATTCTATATATAATAAATGCTCCTAATCTCCAACAACTGCCTAACATCCCTTCCTCCATGGAACAATTATGGCTTGAAAGACTCGAATCATTGCAAAGTCTTCCATCATTTAGGGAAGACTCTTTACTTAAGATTTTACATGTGGAAAAAGTTCCTCTGCTTCGATTGCTGCCTGAAATCCCCGCCTCTCTCGAACACTTAGAGATTAAACATCTCGAATCAGTACAGCACATGCCGCTTTCTTTTTCCAAATCTTCACTTAAAATTCTACATGTGAAAGATGTTCTTCAGCTCCGGCTACTGCCTGAAATCCCCGCTTCTCTGAAACATCTAACACTTGAATATCTCGAATCATTGCAGAGTCTTCCATCATTTAGGGTCGACTCTTCACTTGAGATTTTACGTGTGGAAAAAGTTCCTCTGCTCCGGCTGCTGCCTGAAATGCCCGCCGCTCTGAAATGTCTAACTCTTCAATATCTCAAATCATTGCGGTGGGTGCCCACTCTTCACTTGAATCTCTAGATATTAAAATGGTTCCTCAGCTCTAATTGCTCCCTCTGAAGATCCCCACCACTCTCAGACGATTAAAGCTTATAAATCTCAAATCGTTGCACTGCCTCCCATCTTCTTTGTTGGACGTCTCATCCCTTAAGTATCTATCCCTAGAAAGCATTCCCAACCTCAAATCACTGCCAGACCTCCCACCCTCTTTGTCTACCCTCCGTCTAAAGAAGCTTGATCAATTGGATTGCTTGCCTTCATGCATATCTAATCTTTATTCTCTCACTTGCATTCATATCGGTGAAGCCTGCAAACTCCGGGAATTACCAGATCCTCCTCCCTCCGTAAATCTTTTATCAATCATGGGCTGTCATCCAGAGTTGATGGAGCGCTATAAAGAGTTTTCAGGCTCTAATTGGTGGATTGTAGAATAAGCATCAACATGGTGCTCACCAGTATTCAGGACTCTGGCAGCAAATGACAAGAACTGAAACAATGAATTTTGGTAACCATAAATTACCATTTAATTCTTTTCCAACAACTGCTGCTTTTTTTATGTGTTGTTGTGTAATTTATGATAGAATATTACATGCAGAGTTGGAGTCGTGATGCATCCGGACTTCATGGACATCATTGTTGTACACATTGTACAACAATTTGTACAACATCGTTGAAATGCACTCATAATTTATGTTGTTCCCATCAGTAAGCAATAACTATTTTTATATACTTATTTTCATATAAATCATGCATCTTGTTTGAGGAATGTCAGGTTGATGTCAATCTAATCCTAAGTTGAGTAAATTAATGTCTAGTTCTTTTTAAATTATTTTACAGATTTTAAGTTTAGCTATATTGGATTTTACTTATGGGAGAGGGATGTTTTCTTTATTAATTTGATTTTTGAAAGATTTACGCAAGTACAACTCATTTCTTACGTATTTACAGATCAAAACACCTAAAATTAATTTTTTACAAGCATGCCATCTCACCTGCGGATGAAAAAATGTATTTCATTATTTTAAAAGTTTAAATGGGAATATTTTTATGTGATATGAAAGATTTTGGTGGTATAAATGTGAAACATAAAATGTAGATGGTCGATATGCAAATATATAGGAAGTAGGCTGTATGTATGAAACATAAAGTTTTTATTTGACATGATTTTATGGGTGTTGGGGTTATTTATGTGATTTGATATGATCTGCAACTTCATTCAGTTGATATGATGTAGATACTTTTCCTTTTGGTGATTTATTTTCTTTATCTTTTTTTCTTCTTAAGTATTTAGTTATTAATGTTGCTGGATTCCTAATTCTGATCTATAACAAATAGAACTTCAATAAAAATATAAAAATTCAAGGAAAATTTACATACACAACACTCAATTATTATGGATTTACATATCTTACAACCTAAACTTTGATATTTACACCCACATCAATTCACCTATGCATGAAAAATGTGAATTTGATAGTTAAAAAGTGGTAATTAGTACAATTTTTCATGAAGGTTTTGCTGTGCTATGCATGTAAATGCTGAAAAATTCAATTGCTTGCTGAAATTTTGAAGTTCAAAAGTTTTACTAGTTTTTTTTAATTAATTATTCATTGCATTTTTATTTCATTTTTTTTTTTACTTATTTTTTAGCTTAAAGAAGAAAAAGATGAATTTTTACTGCTTATTGCTTTTTAATCCATTTATTCTGCTTTTTCTTATATTATTTATCTTGATTTTATCATTCTATTTGCATTATAAAGCTTAAGTCCTTAATCATTTTACATCATTGAACTGTCTGTAATTAAAGCTACACTTGCAGCCTTGTTAGTACGTTCCAAATAATGGTGATGGGAACTAAAGTTCACTGCTTTATCTGAAAGCTCTTGAATTCCAAGGCTCCTGTGTTGGATGGTTGTCATTGTGCCTTTGCAGATGATGGTTTGACTGAACCTGTACAATTTACTGCTGCGGCATATGGGGACTGGAACTTTAACAAAGCCAAAATGACTCAGTTTTGAGTGAACTGCTCTTCCTTCGACTTCATTATTAGGTGCATGCTAGCTTATGATTGTGTCTGCTCTGATGGGAACTGATATGAGAGCAAGTCAGGTTGATTAAAAGTTCAAGGGTGGGGTAGAGAAAATTCAGAAGAAGAGTTAAATCTGGATGGCTAAAGGATTTCGTTGGCTGAATGATTCAATTAATTTTTATTTGCTGC